CCTTCAATAGTCTAATTAATTTTTTTTTTTGTAAATAAGAAATATTTTTGAAAAAACGTTTATCAAATTCTGGACACTATAATGAATATAATTATTCAGGTCAATATATATATTTAATTGATATATTTATGTGAATGGATAATTTATTAAATTATCTTATTCTATAATTTTTAGGACATTATAATAATATTTTGAATATTTTTAAATTTTTAAATAAAAAAATATTTTGAATTTTTTAACATAAATTTTTATAATAGAGTATTTAAGAATATCTGGAAATATGGTTTGGATGACTTTGGACCTGAAAATTAATTAAAATATTTTATTAAAAATTGCTTATATAAAAAAATATTTTATATATATAAATAAAATCTGTAATGAATACAATTTTTTACAACTTTTGTTTAAAGAACTGAATATAAAAATTCCAAAAATATAGTTGAGAATTTTAATAAATTTCAATGTGCCTGGTTGACAGCATTCAATGTCTAATTATTATAATTTTATATTATATCTTTAAAATTTAGCTTAAATCCAAAAAATTAAATAATTTATAAATTATTTTTATATATAACCATATATAAATATTTATATATATAATATATATATATATATATATATATATATATATATATATATATATATATATTATATATATATATATATAAAGTTTCAAATTAAAAAAAATAATGTTTTATTTTATGAATTTTTATTTATTTATTTTATATATATATTTGATATTTCAAATTGTCCTCAATTTTTCATCAGAAATAACTGTTTGTTACAAATAAATTAAAATTACTGTTTGTTAGCAAGTAGCGTTTCAGATGAGAGAAATTTGGATACGTCACGTGATATGGAACGTCACTGTTCGGATATTCCTAATTTAAATCTAACTGTCATAAATATTTTAAAAAAAAAAAATTTTTTACTATATCTAAAAAAAATTGCTTAACTATTGAAATATTTATAAAGATTTAAATTTCTAAGTCCCTATTCAACCCTAGTTTATGTGTATTTAATTTTAAAATCAATATGTTTTTTTTTTTCTGCGTGTGAATGTGGAAGTAAAAATCGGAATCTATTAATAAACATTTGCAGTTTTCTAATGTGTGTCCTGATTGATTGTAGTGTTTAGCTATGGGGAATAAGGGTTGTTTTGATGTATTGTTTGTTTATGGTTATTGAAAACGAAAATAAAAAAATTATTTCCAGACTCACCAATATATCCACTATTAGGACATAAGTTGCAGAATAAATAATAAGATTGACGTTATGGCTATGGGCAGGTGAGGTTAGGTGGCTGTATTTGATATTGGTGTTTTTCTGAGAAAATATATTAGATTATTAAATGTTTTAAAACTAAGCAACGAGGTTTGTTACATTTGTAATTTCCTGTTTGGTTTCTATTGTTTAGATATTTGGTAGAGGTGAGGATAGCTGATAGTCAAACTTGATTGTTTCATTGCATTTATGGGTGGTTTATCGAAAATGTTTTTGATCTTTTGTCTAATTGGAGGTTCTTGTAATCATTTTTTTAAATTGTGAATAACAAATGGGGAATATTGATTGTGGTTAAAAACCATGGGAATCCGATTGTTGTTTTTATTTTTTTCTTGTATGTGAGAAGTTAATGTTACGATTTATCAGGATAGTTTTATTTAGTGCATCTTTTATTATTTTTTATTGGGTATTTGCATTTTTAAAATTGTTTAATTAAGTTATTAATGTTGTATAGAAAATCTAAATCCAAATTCCATATATATTTGATTCTTAGAAAAGCTGTATACAATAGATTTTTTAATTTAAAGGGATGACAGCTGTTAAAGTTGCAAAAATTTATTTATTTTTTACTTTTTTTGTTTTTTGTATAGACTGGAAGATTTTGTATGTTTGTTTAATTTTATCATAAAAAAAAAAAAGATGGATTGTATTTTGCTCCATGATAAATTTAATTGTATATAAAATGGAGTTTGTTTGTTTTGTTTAAAAAGGTTTTTAATTTTTCTGATCCAAGTCCATTTTGATTTTAAGATCATCAATATATCTTTTTTAATTGATGGTTAAAAAAAAAAAATATTTATGACAGATTTAAAAGTTAGGAATAAATGAATGGAAATGGATTTCCATATGACATTGATTTTAAATTTTTTAAAGATGATAAAATTTAACAAACAGTAATTTTAATTTATTTTGTAATTGAGTTATTTTTTTGATTTTGAGGACAATTTGAAATAATATATATATATATATATATATATATATATAAATACTGCTAAAATATTTAAATAAAATAAAACAAATTTTTTTAATTTGAAACATTTTTCACAACAAATATATATATATATATAGAAAAAAAATAACAGACAATGAATTTTATTATGTTAATCATTTCATCAAAAAATCTAAAAAGTTCATGATTCAAACATAGACAGCAAATATTCAAATTCTGTTATATTTAACAAAATATTTTTAAATAATGATTTGCTGTCCCAAAACACACACACACAAACAGAACACACACACACACACTGGAACACACACACATATATATATATATATAAGCCTTCAATTAATGCATATATAATTTTTATATACCAAAGTCTTCAGTTTTAATGATAATAAATGAAAATTTGATTTTTTTTTTTTTTTTTTTATAGTTATAAAATTCATAATTCCAGCCACACTAATCAAAGGGATTCATATGTAATATATATATATATAATATATATATATATATATATATATATTATATATATATATATATATATTATATATATATATATATATATATATATATATATATATAAAACAATAATATACAATTTTTTTTATATAAGAACATTTTTTAGATATGTTAATTAAATTAAAAAACAACAATAAATTAAAAACTAATTTTTCTTTATCTCAAATCAATGAATAAAAATGATCTCATAAACTTCTATTATCACCATAATAACAAAATAAAAAAAATAATCATCAGAATTTGTAGCCCCCAATTTTTATATGATCTGAGAAATATTTTAATTAATTGATTGATCTGTTTTAAATGACTTAATTAATTTGCAGGTTATATAAATTTCAGAAAATAATTTTAGATTGTAAAAAAATTAAAAAAAGTAATAATTGTTTAATGATACAAATCTTATAAATTATTAATAGCATGGAGGAAGAAGAAATTATTCAATTTATTTCTCAATGGTATTTAGAAAGTAAATAAGAAGCCAACTAGGAAAGAAACTCAGCTCTCTGATTAAAATTTTTTATCAATTACACCACCTTTATATTTTTTTTAAAATGGTGTTCTCATATCGGTCACCCATAATATATATATTGAGCAGGTTCAAATATAAATATATCTTTGATGATTATGTGAAACCATGTTTTGACATGATGTGGCTTAATAAAAAATAATTTTAAGTTCCTATTTCATGCTCTAATTATTCAATATTCAACATGAAACATATTTAATTTAAAATATTTTAAAATAGAAGAATTAAAATTTTGACAAATAAGATGTTTGTTTGTATTGTTTAACCCACCAACTATTATCACCACAACCATTCAAAAGAATTTATAAATTTTTAACATAAAATTTGTTACAATTATTCTTTCTAAAATTTTAGGAGAATTAAAACAAAATAATAATAATCTAAAAACTTTTGATATCAATTTATATTTCATCTTTGAAGAAAGGAATACATAAGAGAAATATTTAAATTTAAATAAAAGATTATATGAACACAAAAATATTTGCTTAAAGCAAAAACACTTTTTTGCATTAGTTTCTCACAGGTGTGTGTAAAATCATAATTTTGATTTAAAAAAACAATACACCAATTAAAAAAGAAAAGCAATTTACTATCCAAAAATGTATAGCAAAAGTGCTTTGCCATTTAGAATGCATAGTAAATTTAAAACCAGGTAATTTACATAAAAACCTTTCTTAAACGATATATTAAATACAATGTGAGATATTTAATAATAAAAGTGATCAAAATAAACAAAAAGAAAAGAAACTAAATGAAATCGGTTAAACTATATACACAAACACATATTTAAAAAAAAAAAAAAAATTTAAATTAAAAATTTCTCAGTGCTCCTCTCCTTCATACACATGTGTAATCACATCAATGTAAACATTGCTTTAGTCTAATGAAATCCTAAAAGATGAAACGCATCACTTTTTCCCACTTTATCATTGATTTTCCTAAAATTGTTCTGGTATATAAAAATTTATATATTATTTTCTCATGTACACCACACATGCACACACTTGTTAGTAGGATGTAAAATAGTATATGAAAACAAAAGTGAAGATAATGAGCTTTTTATAGATAAATACATTCTGCCTCTGTTTGGTAGGTAAGCATTGTTTGCACTGTTGATGTCATTGCGAGGGAGATAATTCAGTGACAGGCCATCCATATGTTCTCTTGTTTAAGAAAACAAGAAAAAGACAAAAACTTTAAATACAAAAGACAAAATCCTATAAAAGATGTCTCTTCCAATGATTTCAGTACAGACGAAAAAACAGCAAAAAATGATGTCAGTATCATCATGTCACAAATCCCATGACCCATTGCTGTTGTAGAAACACCACATATACTGCAGCTATAGCAGCTGTGTTGTGTTTAGAGCAAGATAGCCTGATGGAACCTGTCCCTCTTTCTCCTGGTTTTGAATCCAAATTTTTACTTCTCCTAGATTGGTTGCCACTTAAAAAGAAATAGAGCACAATTAGCCCTGATATTTAATCCATAGTTGTTGGAGAAAAGAGATGGTTTCATGCCTTTTGCAAAGGCATTAGTGTGGATATGAACATAACAATTGACCAGAATTCAAATTCCTCAACTTGCTGAGTTCTCTTCCGGAGTTGTTAAACAGTACACTACCTGCATATTCTGGTGTTAATATATGCAAAAAATAAAGATTGCATCAATGGAGACTGAAAAACAACAACTATAAATTCATTTTTTATTTCTTCTTTTTTTCTACAGGTTTTGATTTCTCCAAAGAAAATGTTTCAAGAAATTTAACCTCTACAATGGAGGGTTTATGTAAGTACCTAGTTCTTCCATCAATTTGATTTTTGAAGAAATAAATAGACAGGAAAACAAAGCAACTCTTCATTTATTTTGAATAAAACAACAGAAATAACAGAGTAAGTATTATTTCTGTTTTTATTCATGCAAAGGTTCATTTTAAGCAAACCTGTTGAATTCTTATGAATTACTGATTGAAACCAAAGTGATCAATATTTCTTCTTGATTTTCACACTGTTAACCAATATTGATTGATGCAGCTTTGTTCATCTTGATCAATATATAAGCGCTTTGCCTTGATAATCAAATCTTTGCACAAAGAAATATTTCTCAAAGATACTATGTAAAATTGACTTGACAAAAGCAAAACTCAATTGAAACCTTCATTTTTTAGTGTAACAATGGGAAGTGCACTCTGATGGGATAGCGGGGAGTTGGGGGGAAGGCATTACAAATTCACCGCTGCTTAGTTGTGACATTCTACCAATATCTACTCCGGCATTATAAACTAAAGCAACCATTTTAGCTCTTAGCTGCAACTGCAGATATCAAGAAATATGGTGGAGATGTTCAATAAACTCTGTGACAAAAATAACCACTTTTTAAATTTTTTCTTCCATATTTCACTATAGGATCTATAGTATAGATTAATCAATCCAATTAACCAATATTGAAAAAAAATTTTTTATTAAATTTTATAAATGTTGATAGATGGTCCAGTTTGCAACGTAAATTCATTGCAAATTGATCCCTCTACAAAAGGCAAAACAAAATATGTTCATTCCTTATAATTATTTAAAATGTTTAAAAAAAAAAAAGAAAAGAGATTTTTAAGCACTTCAGATTGAAAAAAATCTATTTCTTTTTAAATTTTAAGAAATCATGTTTCATTTGACTTCTGCAATGGGGTCAATTTACAATGAGTTTACATAGAAAACTAGGACTTCTATTAATGTTTATAAAAAAAAATTTGTGATCTGAAGTTTTAATCTAATCCATCAATAATATGGAAAAAAAAAATTATTTTTTTCTGGTCACAGTGTCGATGAGAAATGTTTGAATCTCTTCTTAAATGTAGAGTAGGACACAACCTGATCTCAGAAATATAGACTGATTCTGATAAAACCTGGATTGATGAATACTTTTGCAGGATTAAGGTAATAAGTCCAAATTCTCTCAAGTTCACGGAATGTTGGTCAATCAAATTATGATATATATCAGTATATTAAAATATTTATTATGATATATATCAGTATATTAAAATAAAATGGATAATAGGTTTACATATTCAAAATTTGCGGCTGAGTGCTTCATCAACAATGACTCTTTGCAGGAATTGAAAGAAATTCTGAAGAATTTAATTACTTTGTAGAATTTCTGTCTATATTTCTGAGATGAGGTATTATGTACACTATTTACATTATTCGGACTATTGTCCTCATTTTTGTCGCCGTATTTATTACGTTTCGGCCATTGTACGCTCTGGCCTTCTTCAGGTGGTTGGTATATTGAACTGAACCCTTTATTTTGCTCACTGGGGTAGACTGTTCTACTTCCACATGCCATGTTTAATGGATGTCAGTTGTCAGTTATCTCCTGTTAATTCCCCTCTCCAAGTTCTCCACTGCCTTAACCGGGTATTGAACTCACATTCTTTGGGTCCTGTCATTGGATCTAACCAATGCCTTTATCCACTGTGTAGAATTTGTTCCTCATAGATCATGATGCAGTCATCAGGAAGACGTATTGAACAAGATTCTATGATCATTAGTGATGGTGAGTTGTCTTATAAAGGGCTTTTAAATGATCTGCAATACAACCACAAAGTTATGATTCATGAAAAATGAAAATAATTTTGTTTCTTTAATTCATACCCAAACAATTGTGTCTTCTCAGAGAAAAAGAATCAATGAACATCTGCACAAATGGGAAATATATATTTAAAAAAAAAAAAATGTATTTGAAAATGTATTAAAAACAATATAAATTTTAACTTATGAATTATGGCTCTGATTCTAGACTTCTACCAACCCTTGTTTTGAGTCTTTTACTTTTTTTTTTTTTTTTAATCATTTCACCCCAAGCAAGGCAATAAAAGCAAAAGGGGTTATTGATTATAAGAAAATATGTGAAAAAGAAAACATTATTAAGGAGTGAGAACAATAAAAGAACAGGAATTAAGATAACAAGGTAACAATTGACATTATATTTAAATTTAAAAAATCAAAGTTAATTAGAAAGCAAGAAGCCAGAAGTGTTCCACAAGTGGGAAGTACAAGAGAAGAAACTGTTAGCATAGAATTTACAATTACATCTAGCCATTTCAAAAGTAAAATGAGACCTAACTGCCAATTTAGTACTGTGCTTAAATTTATAAAGTTGAAGTATCAGAGGAACAATTAATTTTTTTTTAGTTACAAAAATAAATTGCAAAATGTTGGTTTTTGATGTTTTGTAATATGTTTATGCATTATCAAAACCTTCAACTTTAATTTACATTTGGCATGTTTATTTGCATAATGATAACAAAAAAAAAGTAAAAAAAAAAAATATTTCAGAGACTTTACACTGTAATGAATAATTTCAATATCTTATGATTTGGTAATCCCATATATATTGAGACTAAATTTTTCAGATGAAGAGTTATCATTATTTACAGTTGGATTAATGTCATTATGTTTCTGCTGTTATGCATTTTGGGCTTCTTCAGGTCTCTGTCAATCTAGATAAGCTTCATGAAATTTCACGCTGAACCCTTTATTTAATCTTTGGGGTAGGCTATTCTTGTTCTGCTGTCCAGGGGAGATAACTAGTCTAGTTCTTATTTATCACTGTTCAATTATTGCTCACTCTGTTTTCACTGAGTCTGTGTATATACTACCTGACCCAAAGATTGAACTCACTATGCTACTAAATTCATAAACAACTGCTTTAATCCACTAGGCTATTGTCCTGTGGGACAATCCTAAATCTAGAACTGGGAGCTGTAAAGTTTCATAGATTAAATAAAGAGTTCATAGATTAAATAAAGAGTTCAGTTTTAAATTCCCTGAAGGTTATACAGATTGACAGAAAGCTAAAGAAGGTTAGAAGGCACAATGACCCAAATAGTGTGGGAATAATGACAAAGATGAAGACATTAGTCTAAATAATTATATATAAATATATTATATATATATATATATATATTCACTCTACACTCTAGGACCATGACTGATAGAAGTATTTTCATATATGCAGCTTTACCCGTTGGTCATGAGGTTTAATCCTTGGATCAAGCACTGTAATCCATGTTAAACCTTTGTGCCTACAAAAAAAAAAAAATGTCAATAGGATGGTTATTCCCTTGACACCACTATTATTGTTTACACTTTTGACTCCCTTGGTAATGTTTATTTACAAGATTATACAAATATGGGAACCAAGTACAATGTGATATTTATTATTTACCATTTTATAAAGAAATAAATTTAAAAAATCTTTTTATTCAAAAATTTATAAAAAAAAATGACAAAATTATATGTAAAAGGAAGAGATGCAACATATTTTAGTGAATTTATTTGGCGAGAGCAAATGAAAGAAATTCCCGGAAAATTCATTTTTTTCAAAATTCATAATTACAGTTACTTATCGTTATGTGTTTATTAAAATTTTCTTGAGACATTTTTACAAATTTATAAATAAAAAATTCTTTTGATATTTATTCTTTATAAAATGGTAAAGAATAAATATTTCATTATAATTGGTCCACATATTTTTATAATCTTGTAAATATAAAATTATTCTTGTAAATAAGCAATCTAATAAATAAATAAATAGTGTTTAATATCTTTGTTGTCAATTCTCAAGAATAAACAAAATGTATAAATCCACTTTCATATGTTTGGGTTTTATTAAAATTCTAATCATCGCTTTTTAAAACAATAAACATTGCCGAGAGAGTCCAATGTGTATACAATAATAGTGGCGTCAAGGGAATAATTGTTCTTTTGGCACAACATTGTTTTTTTCTTTTTCAGGTACAAAGGTTAAACATTGCCAAATCAGTACCAAGTCTGGTTTACTAGCACTATTACAAGGATAAATTACCTGAGAAGAATTAATGAATAGGTTTTTAGTCTGAACATCAGAATGTAAAGAGCCTTTGGATTGATTAAAATATTCAGTTGTAAATTTGGAAGGAGGAGTTGTTGAGATTTCAAATTAATTGGAACACCTATGAAAAGAAAAGGGATAGTGTAAAAGTTTGGAGAATGTAATGCATGTGGAAGCCCTTTCCACTCCAGTTTCATAATCATTTGATGTGTTCTATTTTCAAAATGGTGGCTGTTGTCCTGCAATAAAATCATTGGTTAACATCCTTGCCTAGAAAAAGTTTTTTCATCATCCAGTGTGGCATTCAAATGAGCCAATTACTCACTGCAGCATTGAGCAGTAGAAATTTGTCCAGATTGCAGTTATTCAAATAAAGAATTCCCATGAATTTCATCAAATCCAGATAAATTTTTCTTTGCAGTTAATTCCATTAAGATTGAAATACTGAACACAGTCATGAATTTAGACCTATTTCCTTTTTTGCTTTCATTTTGAAGTCTTGTAGTAAATCCATTATGCCTAAAAATAACTTTTGTGTGATGAACAAGAAAAAAAAAGAAAGACAAGTGTTTGAATGCAAACTAACATTCCTTTCAGTTAAGTTCACATAAAATTCATTTTTCTCAGTTTGTTAAATTATGTACTCCAGTTGCACAAGTAACAGAGCTGAGTAAACTTGAGACACTTCTAAGATTTTTCTAACATTTATGTAAAAGCTAGGGCTGGAAAATTTTTGTATCAATAAGTTCAATGCAGAAGATTCTTACATTATTCTAATTTTTTTACATTTAAGTGTACGGAACAGTTATAATATTGGTCCTCCTACATGGCAGTGAATGCTGGGTCATCGCTTTGCAGATGAAGAGACTTGAGGCAACAGAAATATGGTTCAACAGAAGGATGCTGAGAATACTATGAACTGAATACATGAGCAACAGCAAAGCTTTAGAGAAAATAAAAACTAAAAGGGCACTTGTAGTTAGCATTAGAAAGAGATTATTGAAATTTCTAGGTAACATAATAAGAAAGGAGGGCTCATAAAATTTGACACTCTCAGGACATATTGAAGGCAAGATAAACAGGAAAGCAGTGCATAACATACCTAACAAGGTTGTGTAAATGGTTGGCAGAATAGTGATTAGGAGAGATAGTAAAAAGATAATCTTTACTAAGAGTTAAAGAGAACACGAAATTGTGGAGAGCCATGATCACCCACATCCTGTAGGGACATGACACATTGAAGAAGATATAAATTAAAATTTTTATGAAAAAATATTGAAATAGGAAACAAAACGTTACCTCAGAATTCTCCCGAGCACCGTTTCAAATCGCCTTTTGGGGAGAATTCTCCCAAGCATTATTTGGAATTGCCTTTTGGAGAGAATTTCACCATGTCATAGGAATTATCTAAACTTTTTTTTTTTTTTTTTTTTCCAGGGTGTCACGAATGTGGTCGTAGTGACCTGAGGGACTGCCCTGAGCATGGGCCACTTCATGCAGTCCCTGATTCTGTGGTTCTCCCCCTTGCTCAACTCACTCTCCCTAAGGGACTTGTTATTCGACCAAATCTACGTACGCATCCCCAGAGAGGTTTGTATGAATTCATGGATTTTTAGTAACAATTAGGCAACTTGTTTAGCAAATCATGACAAGTACACAATACTTAGGACCTCGTATGCAACTAAGTAAACAAGTCATAGAAGAAAGGACGTGTATTTAAAAATTCTTTCCTTCTGGAATGTGGACTTCTTTTAAAAAAATTCATTCAATTATATCCCACATTTTAAAAAATTTATTGCAATTCACCCTGAGTGACAAGACACAACTTAGGATGATACAGACTTTAGATAATTCAAATGACCAAGTGTAGGTGAAGTAAAGTGAAGTGATTACATGATTTTTTTTTATCTCCTCTTACTTTACATGACAGCCAATTAATAACAATATATCCTGTAAATAAGCATGTAATCACCTTTTATATTTTTACGTCTTTTGTTGTCTTTTTGATTCAAAAAGACAGCAAATGGGCATCAGCACATAACTATGTGGACATTTAACAACAAACTGATATGTGTTGATAAAAATGACCCCAAACTTGGAACATATTAAGTTTATTGGCGTAATATTCCTGCCATTTGTAAGAAAAATGACTGTAGAAAATTCTGATTTGAAAATACAGAACTGGAGATTTTTATCTCTCAGATTTTTTTTCAACATCAGGAGAGTTAGGGACACTTTACAGTTTCCATTTTGCTATCACATATTGTCAAAGAATAATTGGTTTAGGGATACTTTGCAGTCAAATGAGCATGGAGAAAGAAAATTTTCAGGTTGCCCAAGAAGCATTTCAGGGAAAAAATGTTTGTTATTTGGTCAGATTTTAGGAAGTAGGTTAGGCTGCAAATTTTTCAGTACACCTTTGTGTGTGTGTGTGTGTGTGTGTGTGTGTTGTGTATATATATATATATATATATATATATATATATATATATATATATATATATATATATATATACATATTTTAAGACAATTTTATGTTTATACATTCTTTTATATAGATACAAATATTTATGTATAAACATAAAAATATCTTAAAATAACTGTCGGACTTTTGTCCATTTCATATCTATCTATCTATATATATATATATATATATATATATATATATATATATATATATATATATATATAAGGTTTGTCACTCAGCTGAATGATATTACCTTCAGCATCCTGACTCCAGAGTTTCGTACTGTCTACTCATCAGGGGAAGGTATCAGCAATTGGCTGCTTATACTTCTCAATTTTTCTTTTTTATATGCACTTATCATTGGTGCAAGTTTGTTTTTTTTCCTAGTGCATGTTTGCACGTATGTGCCCATTCGCCCATGTGCATATGTGTAAGGTGTCATGATTATTTGTCCTTTTTCTTTTTTTCTCTCACTTTTTAGCCTATTATTGCTTTTTTTTCTCTTATTCCTCTTTTCATTTTGCCATTTGTTGTAATTTGGTTTCTATTTTTTTTTTTTTTTTCTAGACATGTTGTTTTTAATTTTTGAGTGTTCTAGTCTTTTCTTGGGTTAGGAAAATTTTTATTAGGTTGTACGAAAAGTTTAAGGGAAATTAAAACATGAAACAAAATTACGCCATTAAATATTTAATCAACTAAATATGAACCATTTTGTTGCACAACCTTTCTCCATTTTTTTCTTCAATTTAAAGATTCCATTTTCCCAGAATTTCAGTTGTTTCTCAGCAAAGGACTCATTAAGGTGTTTTTTTATGTCATCCAAAGAATTAAAATTTTTACCATTGAGATTATTTTGCATGGACCTGAATAAATGAAAATCAGAAGAAGCAAAGTCTAGTGAACATGGCAGGTGGGCTAATACATCCCAGCCAAGCTGCAATAATTTTTTGTTGGATTGCCAAAGGAACAGGAGAACTGGCACTATCCTGATAGAAAACAACACCTTTCCTATTTTGCCAATTCTGGGAGTTTTTCTTGAATTGCTGCCTTTTAATTCATCAAGTTGCAAGGAGTAATTTTCAGAATCAATTGACTGTTTACTTGGCAGAAACTCATAGTGCAAGATTCCTTTCCAATCCCACCAGATGCACAGCATGAATTTCTTAGGATGAAGACTTGCTTTTGGGGTGGCTAAAGTTGGCTCATGTCACTTGCCCCAGGACCTTTTTCACTGAACATGATACATTTCTCAACACTCATCACAATTTGCTTAAAAAAGTGTTCATTTTCATTGTGTTTATACAGCAAATCACAGATGAAATTCAATCCAAAAGATTCTTTTCACTCAGATCATGTGGTACCCAAACATCATAGTGATTTGAGTACCCAAGCTTCGCTAAGTGCTCATGGATGCTGGATTTTGATATATTTAGTAAAATATTTTTGATAGCCATATTTGTGTAATGCAGGTTATTCTCAATCAAAACTTTGATTTGGTAGTCATCAGTTGTAGTTGATGGGGTTTATTTCGCCCAAAGTTCTTCATCAATAAGGCTCAATCACCAACTCTAAACTTTAATAATTGGGATGACAGTTCTGTCCTTCTAAAGCAACTTCACCATATACAGCGCATATCTTTTTTGTTGCTTGTGAGGCATTTACAGTAAAAAAAAAAAAAAAATAAAGCATCAAGTATCTCTATAATGCAACTTATAATCTTCCATATTTTCATAGGGATACAAAATTGACAGGAATTAAGTAATTTTAAACTTTCTTTCCCAAGAGATAGTTTGACACATGTTCTAATCAGAAATGTAAGCATATTATGTCTGTCAATAAATCTAACGTGTTGAAACATGAATAACTAAAAATTGGCACAAACTTTCTGGATAACCCAATATTTATTTTATTTTTATCATAAATAATTGATTTTGATGCTTTAAATGATAAAGAAAAATTTATATATACATTTACTTGCTTTTTTATATATATATATATATATATATATATGGCAATGTGTTTCTTATTATAAAAATTTAGATTGTGTGTGTGTGTAAATGCGTTTATATATTGGATAAAGATTTTCCTACATTTTTTCAACCAATTTCAACAAAACTTCACAGGACTGAGTAAAATTACCTTATAGTGGTTCTGACAGCGCCAAAAATTGGAAAAAACACAATTGTTTTTGCAGAAATCAATTTGAAAACACGATAAAACAAAATTCTGTCGCCAGAATGAAAGGACAACTTATATCGAGTTATACTTATAAAACCCAGGTTGTTTGTTGTGTGTGTGTTCGTTTATATATGGGAAGGGATTTCCTACAGATTTTTCAACCAATTTCAACAAAACTTTTTTTTTTTTAGCAGGTAGTGTTTGGTTATTGTCTTGCAATATTTTTTTTTTTATTTTTACATTCAGAATGCTTTAAAAATTCTATTTACAAGACAATTGTTTATAATAAAATTCTATTCAGTCGATAGACTCATAACGATTGAAAACAATGTTTTTTTTGTTTGGGTTTTGACCAATTTCATAAAAAAAAAAAAAATTTAATTAAGACATGCGTGTCTGTCAACCTTAAACAATAATCTTTGTTAATTTTATTTTTCAGTCTTTATGATGGTTGATACTTGATCTATCTCTTACTGTTACATCCCGAATTAAATATATTTATTTTTCTTGGTTTAAGATCATTTAATCGTGAAATCAAATAATTCAAAATTTTCTTTTGTGTTTGAGAAGAGTCAGTGTTGATTATCCTGTCATTTTCATCTTTGCAGTTGTTGAATAAGGTGTCAAATATCTTTTTTCACTTTTCCCCTAAATTTGTATGTTTTTTTTTTTCTTCCTGACCTTCAAAATTTACATATTCACCTGTTCAGTCAAGTTCTCTTGATATCAGGAAATGAAAAGAAAAAATATTTTTTCTGCTTTTAATGAATTTCAAAATTACCACTTAAAATCAAGATATATATATTATATATATACATATATATATATATTTTTATATCCATAAACCATATATATATAGGCAGCACTATCTTTTTTTTTGTTTACAGTAATGAAAATATTTTTCTACATTCACATTCCTGGCAGGTGCATAAGGCCATCAGAAAAAAAAGTACACCCCAATTGGCAAAAAATGTTTGAAATTTTGTACAGTTGCTGTGAAAGTTGTGCACAAACTAATTCCAAAATTAAATCTCAGAAAGCTATTTTTGGGATCAAACTATTTTTGAAGAAAGATGATTTCTATGGAAGCATTTTTTGTTTCAGGTATCCTAATGTAAAGATAATCAAATTAACATATGCACTGCAAAACAGCTGATGCACTTTATGGATTAAAAAATTACCATTGTATTAAATTTTGAAATCTATAGCCCCCCCATTGAATTCAGAATATTCAAAGATCAAATAAAGTTTTAATTAATTTGAATGAAATTTGGAATATTCAAAAAAAATCAGGTTAAAAGCCCACAATCATGTGCACATTGATGGAGTTTTTATGATTTGTAATCATTTCAATCCTATTGATGGGAATAGTCCCGACATATTTACAAGGACAAAGATTTGAAGTTCAATCTATGAGCTAAATTTGGATCAACAGAAGTTGGGAGACAATGATCTTTGTTTAAAAATCTGTTTGATAATTAAAGAAATTCCTTAAAAAATTATTGAAATTGTTAGCATCAAAATATAAAAAAAATGTTCCTAAAAGGCCCTGATTACTTTTGATCTGAAGATGAAGATTTGTAATTCCACTGTTTACTGAAAAAACAAATTGAAAATCCAAATAAACAATGTTTTGTGATCATGAAATCAAGAATTTAAAAAACAAAAAAAAAAAATTTTTATTATTTAAAAAGAACATAATATCTAAATGTTTAGGAAAATAAGGGTCTTATTACCATTTTCCACATGACATCAAAGTTTCTTCAAATTGAAAATGGCATTACAAATTCCGCCCAACCATTTTAGCAGTTTTGAGGATGTGGTGTTTTCTACAGTTTGGAAATCAACCACCAATATGCACAAATAGGTTTTTATATTAAAAAATTCAAACATCCAAAGCAATTGATTCAGGTTATACTCTTTCCACCTTAGTTCAAAACTTTAGTCCAAGAAGGTGAAAGTACATCTCTT